ATAAGGAATGTTTCATTCCCCTCTCCAACCGATGTAGGATCTCACAATCCACCCCCCTTAGGGACCCAGCGTCCTTGCTAGCACATCGTCCGCTGTCTGACTCTAATACCATTTGTAACAGCCCAAACACACCTCCAATGGATATTTGTCTGTTTTAGTCTGTTACGTATCGTTATCAGCTTCATGGTTTTAAAACGCGTCTGTTAGAGAGAGGTTTCCATATCCTTATAAGAAATGTTTCGTTCCCCTCTCCAACTGATGTGGGATCTCACAATCCACCCCCTCGGGGGCCAGCGTCCTCGTTGGCACACCGCCTGGTATCTAGCTCCAATACCATTTGTAACAGCCCAACCACACCACTAGCAAATATTATCCGCTTTAGCCCATTACATATCGCTATCAGCTTCACGGTCTTAAAACGCGTCTGTTAGAGAGAGGTTTTCACACCCTCATAAGGAATATTTCGTTCCCCTCTCCAACCGACATGGGATCTCACAGAAGAAAAATCCTTTGGCCTATAACATAACGATAATATGTAATCATGTAAGGACTGTTTTAATAGATAGATTCCATAGGATCTATGTTTTCAATCCTTTATTGCAACGACCATGCCAGGAAGTTCTTCTCTGTTGTATGAGTATCATTGACTATATCAGATATCATTTTGAAGATTTGGTTGTTTGTTTTGTGGGCAGTGCATTGAACAAGGCATATCACCTGTATCAAATGGAAATGCAAGACAGTCCATTGAACACTAATTAAGAACAAAAAATTTGTTCATGTTCCAGCTTATCTTTCTTCACCTTTTTACTTCACAAACAGCAGCCTGCATCATCAAGAGCTTTTTGTGCTGTTGCGGGGAACTATTTTTTTCTTTTAAACAAATTTCAATTTTTAGTGAACATTACATTCAGTCTATGATTGCAGCTTGAAAACATTAATTATGAGACATAAAATCTCATAGCTCATGTTATCCATGTCTTTTATGTTTCCTATGTTTATTTTAAATGAAGTTGTTTATTTGAGAATTTGTGTTATGGAGTTCGAGCCGATTTTGTAAACCAACGTTGGTATTCATATGCCTAATAAGTGAGGCAGCACGACGGAGGAAAATATGACGAATAATGATACTATGATGTAAAGTTGAGTTGTATCCTTAACTAGTCTCACTTGGCTAGCTAAGACCTCACTATGATTGGTTTGGTTTTGTGAGATCACACGTTGGTTAGAGAGAGGAACGAAACATTCTTTATTAGAGTGTGGAAATATCTCCCTATTAGACTTGTTTTAAAACTGTGAGGATGATAACGGTACGTCATGGGTCAAAGCGGACAATATTTGTGAACGGTGGGCTGTTATAGATGATATCAAAAGTAGACACATGGTAGTGTGCCAGCGAGGATGCTGAGTGTCACGGTCATGCTCGTCCAAGGCAAGTTGCCCATGACAAGCCCAACCCTTTATGTCGTGTTTTACTTTTGTATTTCTAGGAAGTATGACGTTTCAGAAATATCATGTCTAGGCCTGTCAGACATGAAATGTCTCAGAATGTACTGTAGGGAGATACGACTAGTTGTCAACTTCTCCCTACCCAAGGTTATATACTGTAAGCCGTTGTTATTTATCTCTTGCTTGCTTATATAACGTCTCTTTCAAAAATTTCTCTCTGCCCTCGTTTTCTAAAACCTTCTCTTAAAACTGAGGCCAGAGGCTCGAGCATACGTCGCTTAGCCGTAGGCGACGCAAGAACGAATTGGCTTAGCTCACTTGTCGTTGGAAAGTGAGTGCCGCACAATCGCAAGTCTGCTGCCATTAAAAGTGTGATTGTGACACTGAGGCCCCAGGCGGTGGATTAGAGGTCCCACATTGGTTGGAGAGGGGAATGAATGCATTTTACAACTATGAGGCTGACAGGGATCCGTAACAGGCCAAAACAGATAATGTCTGCTAGCGGTGGGCTGTTACAAACAATATCAAAACCAAACACGGGACAGTGTGTCAATGAGGATGCTGGTCTCTCGTGGATTTTGAGATTCTACATTGATTAGAAAGAAGAATGAACGCGTTTTAAATTGTGGGGCTAATGTCTATACATAACAGGCAAAAGCAAACAATATCTGATAGGTTTTTAATCGAAACCGGAAGAATTTAGTTTATTCGATTTAAAAACTTTAAAGAACAAGGTGTTTGTCACTAATTTTAACCTAAATAAATGAATCAAAGTAAACCGTACTTAGCTTAGAACCGTATAAAAAGAATATAGAATAGACATTCAAAACCCCTTTTAATTAAATTTCACAAACTCCCTCCATGGGGAAACCCTAGCGGTCTCCCGCTTCGTCGTAGCACCTTAGCTTAGTAATTTGGTCGGCCAATCCATGATGTTGAGCGATAATCGGCAACAGTCCATGGCATTGCATTGAGTATCCTAAAATGTTCCGAATTTCAGGGCTTAAAGTCTTAAGTTCTGGCAGGAGGTTGCAGTCACCACCTCTTTCTTCGGCAATCTAGGGTTTCATCGGGACGCCTTATTAAGCTTCAAATTCTTCTCAGTTCTTCCCAGCAATGCATCGTTTGGATCTTTGAAAGATGAGTGTATACATTCTTTCACAGTCTCATACCTCGTCAATTCATGCGGAATGCCATTACAGACTGCTCTGGATGTGGCTTCCAAGGTAAAGTTCAAAACTCCGAAAAACCCTGATATAGTTCTTTCGCTTCTCCGAACTCAAGGATTCACCAAATCTCAGATTTCGAAAATTGTTAAGCAATTCCCGAGACTGCTGTTTTTTTAACTCTGATAGAACTCTTTTGCCCAAATTTGAATTTCTGCATTCCATTGGGCTCTCCAAGTCAGAATGTGTTCAGATTGTATATTCATGCCCGTTTCTTTTGGGGAGTAGCGTGAAAAACCATTTAATTCCCTGTTACAACTACCTTAAATCTGTGCTTGTTGTAGATGAAAAGGTCATCAAATGTTTGAAGCGTTCACCAAGGGCATTTCGTCAGGTTTTTCCAGACAAAATTGCACCCAACATTGAATTGTTACGAACTTCTGGAGTTTCTGATGTTTTGATTTCATCTTTGGTTTCGAATGTTCCTGATTCAGCATTCCGTAGGCATTCCAAATTCCGCAGCATTGTTAACCAAGTTAGGGATATGGGATTCGACCCTTCAAAAGTTGTGTTTGTTGAGGCCATTAGAGTGCTCTCTGGGATGAGTTCTCTCACCTGGGAAAGAAAATTTAAAGCTTACAGTAAGTATGGTTGGTCAAAGGATCAGACCCTCTTAGCTTTTAAGAAGTTTCCACCATGTTTGAGTGTTTCTGAAGAGAAGATCTTCAAGAACATGGACTTTTTTGTGCACAAAATGGGTTTGATGGCAGTGGATATTGCTACAAAACCCACTGTGATGGTCTTTAGTTTGGAGAAGAGGATAATACCAAGGTGTTCTGTTGTCCAAAGTCTGTATTCAAAAGGTTTATTAAAGAAAGAATTGAGCATCGCTAGCATCTTACATCCTACAGAAAAGACTTTCCTGGAGAAGTATGTGACCAAGTTTCCTAAAGATGCTACTTGGCTGTTGCATTTGTATACTGGAGAGGTCAAAATCTTTGATGTCTAACCTTAATTTTATTTTTGGTCCTTGATTCATTGATTGCTATGGTCCATTTTCTTGGATGAACTCTTAACTTTTTGGCTCAATATTACATTTTTGGTGTCTGTTTAAATGAAGCTTTTTGTTTCTTCTTGCCTTGAATTTTGCCTGCTCAAGTGCTCCCATTGTAAGTAAATATTGTCCGTTTTGACATGTACGTATTACTATTAGCCTCACTGCTTTGGAACGCCTCTACTAGAGAGAGGTTTCTACACCTTTATAAGAAATGTTTTGTTCCCCTTTCTAACCAATGTGGGATCTCACAATCCACCCCTTGGAGCCCACATACTCACTCGCACACCGTTTGGTGTCTGATTGATACCATTTGTCACAACTCGAACTCACCACTAGCAAATATTGTCCGCTTTGACCTATTATGTATTGTCGTTCTCCTCACGGTTTTAAAACGTGTTTATTATAGAAACCTCCACACCCTTATAAAGAATGTTTTGGACTATCTCCAGCCAAAATGAGATCTCATAGTATTATGTTTCGCCGTTAATTTTGTACAATTTTCAAGCATGTGTAATGCCGTTAATTTTGTAGCTTAAGATGATTTCCCGTAAATATGTTGTTTTGCTGAGTTATTTGAGTTGGATTGGCTGATTCTTTACACCATTACTTCACTTTCAGTAACGGAGGTTGAAGATATGGAAAATCTGGAGAGATCCCTCTTCCAGGGCACCATGTCTCATCATCTCATCCATCAATGGCCTCCTGCTTCTACTTAATTCTTTGATTAAAATTGTGGTTTTAGAAAGTGAAACCTTCAATATTTGCTTTACTTTGTAATTACATCATCATTATCTTGTATAAATAGTGATCTAATAAGAAATCCATCCAAAAAGAATTAGGTTCGAGTTCAATTATATCTATCTTTTTACAACCCACTCACTCAGTCGTCAAACCACAATTTATCACGTGATCGAGAACGGCGACCAAAGTATTGGTCAACACAAAAATTTGAGCGTAGAAATAAAGGCGTTATCTCTTGCTTTTTACCTTAAAACAAATTCCATCTCATCCCATAGAATTTTTTAAGACCTTAAAACAAATTCCATCTCATCCCATAGAATTTTTTAAGAAAAGTAATTAAGTGACCTAATTTTTTTATAATAGACAATTTTAAGATTAAAAATTTGTTGATAGAATAATGGAATTTGAAAATAAAGATATTTGATCATTAAAAATAATTTAAAAGCAAATAAATTTAAAATGTAAAATTAAATATTAAATTAATCTTGAATAACAAATACATGTTCTAGAGCAATCTTAACTTGGGGATCAAATTATAGATTTTTCAAAAGATTTGCGTAAGAACATTCTCCAAAACTCTCGGAAGAAAAACAAGAATTAATATTCATCCATTTGTGGGGGAAGTAGGTTTATAAACTTATTATCCGTTTCCCTACAGATGGGGGAATGGGGCGGTGGGTGGCTCTGCTGAATTCCGCCATTTTTGCGTTTCTTTGATGCACCGATTCACCACCACTCGCTCCAAATCCCATTCGCTGCGATGTCTCTCTATTTTCCCATTTCTTCTCTTCCTCAATTTCACTTACCCTTTTCTTCTCAGCCTCTCTCTTACCCTAACTTGACTCCTCTTCATTCACTTCATTTTTCCTCTTCTTCATATCTTCCTTCTTCCTCTTCCACTTTCATTCACCGATGCACAGTTGGCGCCTGCTTCAGATTCTCTTCCATGGCCGGAGCCTTCGATTCTTTAACCGGTTTGTCTTCCTGTCGTGTTTTTAGCGGCGATGGGACAAGGGAGTTTTGTAGCGGGAGCGAGGAAGAAGAGGAGGAGGAGGAGGATGAAGGCAACGTCTCCGATGAAGAATTTGTGGTCGGAATTGAAGAATCTAATGACATAAATGGTTTGCCTGATCGATGGGATGTCTTGGGGCTTGGACAAGCTATGGTAATTTTCCTGTTTTTCATGCTGTTTCTTGAGGAAATTTCTGTATTGAGATTTAAATTATTGCGAGTTTGGTGTTTGATTCTCTCTTGTTGGATAACTTGCTGATTTGAGTGGTATTGAGCTGTTGTAGTTAGAGCAATATTAATGAACACATTGTTTATGTAAGCGTTAGAAATTTTGATTTGGTAGAGGTCAAGACGGTTCAAGGGAAACTTTCTTACGGGATGGGATGATGTTAAAAAAGAAAATCACCTATCTCATAGTCTTGTTTAGTGCTCAGGTGACCACTACAAGATTGAATTTAGGCTAAAATAGGACAAGTTAAGGTTCACACTGCAATGGGGTTGTAAAATATACCTCCCAGCCCTTCATCCCTTGGACGTAGGACTGGTCAAATGGTACTTTACACTCCCACTTTGGTATAACCTCCTAAGAGGAGTACTTGACAGCTGGTGGTGGGTTTTTGGGATGGTATGAATCGGCTCCCTAGCCCGTAGCAGCCAGTACTTCCCACCGGGTTTTCCTATTTCGGGACTATATGCAAGATGAAATGCTTAGGTGTAGTGTGGTGGTGGGTGCTTATTTCAAACAGGTGAACTCGAAATTTCTACATATTCAATTTTGAACGAAGGAAACAAGAACAATGGGAATGTTAGTTCATTTTCAAGTCAAGGGAGAAGCCAAAAACGATAGATTTGAGGCTGATATTCTATGGTGTAACATGCTGCGGCCCTAATATTTATAGATCGTATTGTTCCATAGGAGCAACTTCAGTTTCTTATTTGATGTAATTTGCAATGATGATTTGTGCTAATTCTTGTGTTCTTCATTGGTGTGGCAACATTATTTAGGTAGATTTCTCTGGTATGGTGGACGATGAGTTTCTGAAGAAGCTAGGACTAGAGAAGGGTACAAGGAAGCTTGTAAATCATGAGGAAAGAGGCAGAGTGTTGCGGGCGATGGATGGCCACAGCTATAAGGCGGCTGCTGGAGGGTCTCTTTCCAACAGCCTTGTGGCCTTGGCAAGGCTGGGTATTAGACCCATGAAAGGCCCTACTTTCAATGTAGCCATGACTGGTAGTGTAGGGAGTGATCCATTGGGCAGCTTCTACAGGTCAGGCTAGACTCTAGTTTCACTTTATATTTTGTCTTTTTGCATTCTCGATTTAAATTCGTTGGACGACATGAAACTAAAGTACAAAGAAGTTGCGTGATAAGCTCATAGGCACCACGTTGATGGATCCATTTTCTTGGAGTGTCATTGTAACCACCCAGATCCACCGCTAGCAGATATTGTCCTCTTTGAGCTTTTCCTTTCGGGCTTCCCCTCAAGGCTTTAAAACGCGTCTACTAGGAGAAGGTTTCTACACCCTTATAAATGGTGTTTTGTTCTCCTCCCCAACCAATGTGGGACATCACAATCCACCCTCCCAATCCACCCTCCTTTGGAGCCAACGTCCTTGCTGGCACTCGTTCCTTCCTCCAATCGATGTGGGACCACCACCAAATCCACCCCTTTTGGGGCCAGCATCCTTACTGGCACACTGCCTCGAGTCTACCCCCCTTCGGGGAACAGCGAGAAGGCTGACACATAAGGTGTCTGGCTCTGATACCATTTGTAATGACCTAGGCCCACTGTAGCAGATATTGTCCTCTTTGGGCTTTTCCTTTTGGGCTTCCCCTCAAGGCTTTAAAATGCGTCTGCTAGGGGAAGGTTTCCACACACTTACAAAGGGTGTTTTGTTCTCCTCCCCGACCAATGTGGGACATCACAGAAGCAATCTTTATAAGGGTGTGGAAACCTCTCCCTATCAGACATGTTTTAGAACCGTGAGGCTGACGAAGATACGTAACGGGCTAAAACGGACAATATCTGCTAACGACTAACGGTGACCTTGGGTTGTTACAAAATTAATGAAAAAATTTGGTAGTTCAATTTAGAAGCATTTTCTTTCAGCATGACATGGTGTTCTTCCCTTTCTAGATATCACTTTTTAGAGATAGATAGCACCCAAGTTTCTGAGTCTATAACTATATTACAGTATCTGAACAAAAAGTCAATACCTATGAACAAAGTTGTAGAACAGTTGAAGTTTGAGCTAGCTATTTTCGCTTCCCCGTTTGTTCTCGAATTGAATATGCGCTCATAACTATTTTCATGCTTTAATTTGTTTCATAGGACGAAACTAAGACGTGCAAATGTTCATTATCTTTCTCCTCCTGTCAAGGATGGGACAACAGGAACAGTCATTGTTCTTACTACCCCTGATGCTCAGCGAACAATGCTTGCGTATCAGGTAAACGTTTATTTAAACGGTTTTTTCCATACCCATATGTGAGTATCTGAAGTGGTAATTTTACAATCAGTTTTAGATGGCCCTTTTCGGTTCTCGATAGTCATAGCTGGTTGGTTCGTTTATCGAATTGGACTAACTTGAAGGGATTCTTCTGGATTTGCTATTTGATATCTCAGGGTACATCTTCCATTGTGAATTATGGTCCAGCGTTAGCTAGTGTAATTAGCAAGACAAATGTACTTGTAGTTGAAGGGTATTTATTTGAATTTCCTGATACGATCAAAACGATTCAAAAAGCATGTGAGGAAGCACATCGAAGCGGTGCTCTTGTTGCAGTCACGGGTTCAGATGTCTCTTGCATCGAAAGACATTTTGACGATTTTTGGTAATTTTCTTTTCAGCCCATTTTCGATTTTGTTTTATTTACTTTGATAAAGAACAAAGCTTTCATTGAAAAAAATGAAAATCTTCAAAAGGGAACTCCACTAGACTCTACTGTGACAACTAGAACGTGCGTTCGAATTGTTGTGCATTGTTTCTTTTTCACGCTAAGATGTTTTTTCGTTCATTCGTTCGATTTACTTCTCTTCCGGATTAAGCGAGTCATTATTTAGAATATCTTTTCAATTTTATTATCAGGGAAATTGTGGGGAACTATGCTGATATTGTTTTCACAAACCATGAAGAAGCTGGAGCTTTATGTCATTTTGACTCCAAGGAAAGCTCTATATCAGCGGTAAGATATCTTAGTCATTTCGTTCCCCTCGTCTCAGTCACGGATGGGCACCGAGGTTCTTACTTAGGTGTTAAAGGAGAAGCAGTATATATCCCACCCTATCCATGCGTACCTCTCGATACTTGTGGTGCTGGAGATGCATATGCATCTGGTATATTGTATGGTATCATGCACGGAGTCACGGATTTGAAACAAATGGGAACATTTGCAGCCAAAATCGCAGCCAGAGTCGTCGGGCAACAAGGAACTCGTTTAAGCGTTCAAGATGCCATGGAACTTGCAGATTCGTTTTCTTGCTTTCAGTCTGATATCGGTTCATCGCATGCCTAGACTGTATCATGCAACTTGATCTTTAAGCTCATTTTCTTTATTAAGGGCTCAAGACTCCATGGAGATCGTTCAAGGGTTCAAGGTGCCATGGGAGATGGCATATTCATTTTCTTGCTTTCAGTCTGATATCTGAACTGTACAACTTGTTCTTTATTGAGTTCTCTCATCAAAGAAAATACATATGAAAGTGAAGATGTATGGAGATGCGCTTGTAAGCCTCACATGTTAGTAAATGTGTATATTGTTTCTTTTTTCCTATATATCTTTTAAGGTTAAACTAAACTATGATTTTCGTCCCTACATCTCGGGACTCATTTGATTTTAGGCTTCGGTCTATACATTTAGTTATATAGTGTATACGATGCCTTTGGAGCTTAAGCTACAAGATAATTTGCATACATCTATCTTTTTGGGGTGCAAAATAAGTCGAAAAGAGATACGTGAAGAAATTAATATCTTAAAATTACATTAAAAAGTTATTCCTTCCCATATAACACATACATACAAACTAACCAATACAATACATACAAACTAACCAATACAATTGAACATTCAAAATTATACAAAATTCACGAACCAACGAACGTGACTAATAAAGCATGCAAAGCAAAGTTCAAGCAAGACTAAAAAATGAAGCTATAGAAATATCTATACAAATTCAACTAGGAAAATTTCCTCACCTTAGATAAATTCATGAAATTAGAAATAAAACATGAATCAAGCTAGAAAGTAAAAAGCATCCGAACAGAGCAAAACGAGTTGAAACCCACAAAAGATAGCCTCTAATTTCATCAAATAAAATTATAAACTTGAGTAATAGTGAAACTAATATTTTTTCAAGACTTTAGGAGAAAGACCTTCAATCAAACTCCTAAATTCATAAGAGAAGGAAGGGAGCATAGATATTAAGAGCACAAATGGCCCAAATATAAATAAATCGTATGTATACACTGTTTCAAAGACATATACGTAGGTAGCCTCGACGATATATGATATAAACACATTTAAGAAGGAAGAGAGACCAAATATATATATATATATAAAAACAAAAAAGAAAATATCAAAAACGCTGTTCTTCTCAACTCAGTAAGCCTCAATAGTGTTATGATCAAAATTAAAAATAATAACACTGACCAGACATCTTCAGGCGCTTAGTGATAGAGATACAATTGAAGAGATCTTGATTTTTCGAACTTTAGAAGAATATTCCATCTGAAATACTACCATTGTATTGGATCCTATTGTTATTTCCTTCCACTCGGAAGCAGAGGTCCCCTCATTTTGATAATTCCGAGTAGAGTATAAAACACGAAGTCTTGAAGGACCTGCATTTACAAAAAGAAAATATGAAGAAAGGAAGAAATTTGATGAATTTAAAGTGCAAATATGAGGAACTACTAGTTCATGGAATGATCCATCCAAAACTTCATCGAACTCTCCAAGGTCTTAATTGGTGGTTGAAAGGGACTACCATTTTTCCTCGAGAAATTCTCTCAAGTTGGTGGTTGTAAGGGAAGACTGGAAATTTTGGAAGACAACTTAAAGATCTATTCTTCGTTCTTTGAAGTTAGAATCTTAGAAAGAAACAACAGGATCTTTGGTGAGAAGCATAGATATCTCTGTTACTTTTTGGGACTTTGTAGAGTATACAGCTTGTATTTTGAAACTTCTCCCCAAGCTATATTGTCATTACGTGACTCTTTGCATCTCCCCATCTTCCTTTAAAGATAGAATAGGATGCAGTAGTTCCTTGACAGGGGAGATGTATCATCTCCTGTTTTTAAACTTGATTACTCCCTGTATAGTTCTTTTGAACGTTAAAGTTCTTGAGCGTTTTGTCATGAAATATAACCCCAAAAAAAATCTCAATATGCAGAATTTATTACCATAAAAAGAGACGTGTATGTTTTGATGTTTCAGCCTTTATCATTCAATTTATTTTCCTATATTAGGCCAAAAACAAAATAACTTTAAATATAAGATCCACAGACAGCCTTAAGATCATGAATTTATCTTTATTGACCGATTTAAAGATGCTCACTACTAACACGTGTAAAGCATATTGTGTGGTATATGCATGAAGCCTGTAATGAATTTGAATATTACCAAATCCGATCGTTCTCATCTTCTGGATGACTATGCAACTAACTTTTGATCTTTTGATCTCTCTCAAGGCCTGCATATCTTCTTTCTTCCCTTTGAACTCCAGGAATTCTCCCAGAACAAGGTTATTTCCTTTTAATTCCAACCTGAAGGGGCAGAAAAGGCAGAGATTGCAGAGTAAAATGTTCAGATCATTATGTGCGCAAACTAGTACTTTCAAGCAACTTAATCCCCTTGTATATATTTTTACTATATGTAAATAATAACCAGTATATTTTTCACATTACAATTATTTTTCAACTTCTTATGACAAAATTGTAGTCATATGGAGTGCAGATGTGTTCGTTCTGTAAATCACTAAATATAACTAATTTACTGATGAACATATATAGTAATTGACATCCAACTTCTAAATTATAATGTATAACATGTGATACATGCTTTAAGAAGCTAGTGTAGATGAAGAGGGAAAAAAACATATCAGCACATTTCTTATGGCAACAGCTTAGCCATAGTCCAATCGCAAGTTCCCTCTAGTCTTGTTAGAAAAAAAATCCTATGTTAAGATTTCCAAAGTTTGTTAAGGAATTCATAAGGGACCTTCCTGCTTCACACAAAACATAATAAATATTTCGATAATTGTTTACGATATTCTTTCTTCTCAAAAAATTAAAACTTATGCATCTAATGATTGGTAGAATCGACATGAACAAATAGATGGAAAAAGTAAGGTGACAGTTCATGCAATAAGCAGTGCATTAGAAGTATGCGTACAAACCTATCCCACATGGGTGCAGTGTTGAGGACAAAATTTAGCTTCTCATCCTTCGATTCCTGTATCTCTTTTTTCCCTCCACGCAAAGCACTCTTTATCCAACCAGAGAACATGCTTTTTGGTTCTGGTTTCAACTGCATCCACTGATCATATGTGATGACTTCAGAAGGAAAATAGTTTGAATGGACTGTTCTGCACTTAATAACAAGCAACTTTCAGGAAATTGTTGAGTGGTGCAGTGGATGTCATGATACAAAAATCAAAGATTGCTTCATATCTTTCCTATGTTCCATTAATAGTGAGAACTCAATGTGATATCAAGTTCACAATAGAGAGAAGTTCAGTAATATTTAAATTAGACCAGTGACAATGAGGCATATCAATTCTCCATAGGTTAAGGTGTCAAAGGGAATTGATCCGTTATAAGACTTCACTAAGTCTAAATTTAATTCTCTCACCAAAGCGTTTTGAAAGTCCTGAGATGAACTTCTAGTTTCTGTAAGGAAGATTGTAATAAGCTCATATAAAGAGCTTACTTGAATACTTCCCTTTATATCAACGGAAATCTTGAAGAGTATTGCAACAGAGATTGAGGAGAGTTTATAAAGATCATTCTTGAAACTGAACTAAACCACCAATAAACATTTTCGTAATATTGAAGAGGAGGGCGTTGACAGAATCCAGTTTCCATCCTCTACTCTAACTTGGGAGAGTTTTGTTCTCTAAGTTTGTTTGAAAGGTGTTATTGCACCAACATGTCAATTAATATTAATGTTTCCATAAATTAAGACCTCAATATTTACATTGACATTGACATTGTGAACCTTAGTGATGTAGATATCATATGACATGTATAATCTACCAGTTTTTCACAAATTGGAATATTTATCTGGCTTCAAGTAACTATTCTATATCCACTTTTGAATTAGTAAAATGTTAAGTTCACAGCTTGAACTTGAAGAAATACTTTTGCGTGCCTCATCCAAAGAATGGTTAATAGAAAGTAACAGAGACAATGTGTTGCGATATTTCAAGATTATCGGACTACCTTCTTCAGTAAGGAACCAAGTCCAATATCAGAAGCGTAAAAATAGTGATTAACCATTACATACCGGAATTTTGGGTTGGGAAGCAAAACTTTCCACGACAAATATCCTTCTGGCAGTGCAACTCCTCTCCGCTCAAGGTATGACTCTAGAATTGAGGCCCATCTTCGTGTCTCAGCCACCTGTATTTAAAATTAAACATACGATATAAATATCCATTTCTGTATCTCATTTTCTTTTCTTTTTTCTCTCTTTTTTTTTTTTTTTTTTTTTTTTTTTTTGGAAACTTTCGGA